TAAGCCTGCTTGATCATATCAAATGGCTCTGTCGCAGATTTACCGAGTTACACACAGATTTTAATCGCGTACCTCTATATTTTGCGCTAACACCACTCAGAGAAACACGTCGAGCGAAAATGTTTGTTCTGACTCTCCAGGTGCTCGGAGACAACTGATCAGCAGCTTATTCGTTAGCTATGAACACCCTCTACCGAATCCAGTCGGTGCGCGCACGCTCCAAAAAAGAAAATCAGGCAAAAGAAAATCAGTCTTATTACTTTCCGGACAAATCTCTATTTAATTATTCAGGGAACAAATTAAAAAAAAAAAAACATGATATTAGATTACACGCTAAAAATCAAAGTATAAAATTTTGCCCGAGCTAACTAAGAAAAGACTAAGAAATGTTTACAGGAGTAGATTTCCAGTTAAGCGAACTACATAGACAGTAGACTAAATCAGCAAATATTAAAATCCCACAGAGTTTACGTTTTTATTCAAAAGTTACGCGCTCCCACGCAAGCAGCAAAAACWTAGAAAATGCTCGCATCCAACGTCGCATATTTCCGACTCTTCTCTTTACTTTACAAAAATGTTTAGCAAGCTTAAAATTAGCACCAAATCTGTTTTGRCCAATAGCCTAATTTGTCTTCTATGTCGCAGCGTCGGGTTTCGTGAGCGCGTAGTCATGCCTAAGCGTTTAAAAATCTCGCCTAAAATATGTTTTATTTGCTTTACAGCAACAAATTATAAGCATGCACTAATAACAATAATAATGGYTTAGATTGACGTATAAAAGCTGACACAATTTTCGCACTCAACACATTTGAGCACCCGACAACACGGTCATCACTTGGAGCCGCTTCGGCTATACTCGATTCGCTTATAGCCAAGCGCTTAAAACTGGCTCAAATATATTGTAAATATATAAGAAAAAAAAGCGTACATACAAATATATTTTAGCGTAGCAGGAAAACAATGAAGACCCGCCTTGCTGTAGTGCGTGTACTTGTGGCCCTTACGTCAATTTGCCTTTTGAACCGAGATATTACCACCTACGCCGGTGAGTATGTTGGGAACGCTGAGTGTGGCTACAAAGGTGCATGCCTTCTGAGCCGCGCATAAAYGGACTMTTTGCATAYGCTGCTCCAATTACCCAAACAGTACWTACTAACACACAAATTCGCGCTTTTTCAKCTCCCGCAGAGATCGGCGACAGTCAATGGAAGTTGATAGAACGCAGCGATTGGCACGCACGTCCGCCAAAGGATCGAGCAACTTTTGCCGGAGCCGCGCCGTTCATCATCATACACCACTCGTATAAGCCCGGTATGGCGCTGTCAGAATCGGATTGTCATCTGGCCATGCAGCAGATACAAGACTTTCACATWGATGAACGSCAWTGGTCCGATATTGGCTATAGCTATGCAATTTGCGGTGATGGCAATGTATACGAGGGCCGCGGTGCCAACGTGGTCGCAGCTCATGCGCCTCACTACAACAATCGCAGCATTGGACTGCTGCTAATAGGCGATTTTACCGGTAAGAATCRTTGACGACAATACAATGACGACGTTGTTTGTAATATTGAGTTACTGATCCATTTACAGCTTACTCACGGGTAAATTTTTTTTATGAATTTTACAGAAGCACTGCCACCGTCCAGCATGTTGGAAGTGGCGCTGGATTTTATACAGTTCTCTGTGGATTGCGGCTTTTTGCGTGAGGATTACATTTTATATGGACATCGGCAAGTGCGCAATGGCACCAACTGTCCAGGCGATGCACTGTATGCCGCGATACAAAAATGGCCGCATTGGCAAGAGGATGTAGAAGACATAGCTTACTTGTAGAGTGTGCGTGCGTGCGGCCCAGTGAACAAAGTAATTGCCGCAGGATTAAAGTATCGACCCTTGCAGTATTAAGAAAAAAAAATTTAAAAAAAAGTACAAATAAATTGCAATAATTTTAATGCAAAAATTAAATTTAATGACTGTCATAAACGATATTATACTGTTAGAAAAGCATAAGACCGATCGGATATTAATTTTGAGCTCAGAAAATTAGAACTACRGTTAGGTTAGGTAAATCGGCTGCTTATTGGTGACGCCACGAATAACGGTACTTACATCGCTATAGACACACGTCATTTGTGATGCCYAAAATTCATAATTATAGATAAACGCTTAGAGCCAGTGGTAAGTTTTCTCAACAAATGCAAACAAAGCGCTTACATTCCCGTGCGTCAAAGATGCAGGTTTCGTGATCCTTTGTCCACTCTCGCCGTTTRGACCAAATTTTCTCAGTGAGCAGAGCTTTTTTTGCGAGTGGTTTAGTCTTCTTCGAATTGTCCGCATGCTGCATGTGATTTGCAAAGGTGCCAAAGAGTTTCTCTCGAAGTTTTGAATCAGAGRTAAAACGTTCCGAAATGTGGCTCCTAACTCGAATACAATATGCGGGGTCCTCGTGCAAAAAGACCATCGCTTATCGACATAACGCTTAGAGCTTGCCACAAATTTATTGAGACCGCTTATATATATACCAGAATTCGCCGGGTTCGTAAAAAGTATAGCAATCTAGCAACCTTAGTCCACCGTAAGTTGCACAGTGGCGAAAAAATTGTCTATTTTTTTCAAAGTCATCTTCTTCATTGCAAATTAGGCTGGTGCGTCYTGCAAAATCTTAAGCCTCACCTCATTGAAAAGTGTCCAGTTAGGACATATATCATTGCAGCRTTGCGAGCCTAGATAAGGGATGTTTTGTATTTCASTCTGCGCCAGCAGGCTTACGCAACCCTACAAGTATTGGTTGCTAGCCAACGCTTGCTGAGCGCGTGGGAAGCTCACATACATGGCACCCTAATGCATGCAGACAGGAGAGAACCCCAGATCGTTCSCAACCTGAACGAGTTTGGATATAGGTGCCTTTCCGGCRAGCTCATCGSTTTTACATTTCAGTTTATTTACGAAAATTTTGCAGTTAATCGCACAACTGGTATCAGTATACGCCTTTTGTGGGGGAGTTGGCTAGAGATGGTATTTAACGTTGCGCGGTACGAAGTTCCAAAAGGAAGTTGTTTAACTAATCCGAGCACATTTATTACAACTGCTGAAGCGGCATCAGAGAGAGAAGCTGTTGCCGTTATTTACGTAAAACTCTACACCAACAAAGTCGCTTTTACAATTACATTAAGTTGTCTTATCAACTTTGATTCTCTTGGATTAAGAAAAATTCAAATACTTCATTTAAAGCTAAGTAACAAGTAAGTCTTACTGCCAATATCCGTATAAACTCATACATTTGCGAGAATGAGCTGTGAGCAATGTGTAGCTTACTTAAGTCAAAGTTGAGAGAACGTGACTTTGATTACGATTAAAAAGTTCGCAATAATTAATTATTCATTAAGTTTGCGAGTAAAGCACCAACAACAATACACTAAATGAGAAATACTATGAATGCGATAACATAACAACAACAATGTTGATTACAGCACTGCCATAGTATGAGGGACCGGCATGGAACGGTCGGTCGCGCGAATTAAAGCTTACAACTGCTGATCGAAGCGCTATGTTCAGTTATGAATTAAATGCGGAGACGCGCGCAAGTAGCGTTACAACGGCATAAACACCACATTTTGCTGTAATAATTATTACAATAACATTCATATATCGGAACGAAATACTGTTGGCAAAAGTAGTGGACTAGTGGCGGAAGTATCGACCACAAATCACGGCGCAGGCACAAGTGGCACAACACAACAAAACCGACCAGAGACACCGACCAAAATTTAGTTACTTTGTACTTGTTGAAAATGATAAATGCCGGCGGCACGGTCGGATCCATAACCGCAGCCCTGAAGCTGATATTGTTGGCTAACTTGCTGTTGTTCGGCATTCTGAACGTGTTTACTTGTGAGTTAATTGCGAGTGAAATTTGCATTTGCAAACTATGGAAATTGCGAAATTTCACATAGCAAATAATTGTGTTAGTGTTTGAGTGTGTTTGAGTGTGTGTGTGTGTGAATATATATATGTGTATGCAAGGGCGCGCATTGAGGTGTCGGTGCTCGTCCGGCGTTGAAAGCTGTGTTTTGAAAGCATGTGCATGCCTGTTTATTTTCACTTCATAACCACCATAACCACTGACCACAAATATTTGCTTTTTCATCCCTATCGCACCCACTCCCGACACGCTACATCCACTCGCTGCACACATGTAGACATAGAAATGAGCGAAGCTGCTGCCATATCCAACCACAAGGACACAGAGGCAACAGGCGACCAAATATTAGGATATACGCGTAACTGGCGCTTAATCACGCGCGCCGAATGGCGTGCACGTCSGCCCACCTCGAGCACCAATTTCACCGGCCCAGCGCCATATGTTATCCTACATCATTCCTATCAACCGGGCGTTTGCCGGACCGAGGATGCTTGCAAAGCGGCGATGCGCTCTATGCAGAACTACCATATGGACACGMATGGTTGGCCGGATATTGGCTACAGTTTCGCAGTTGGCGGTGATGGCAATGTGTATGAGGGRCGCGGCTATGAGGTGGTCGGTGCACATGCACCCAACTACAACAGCCGCAGTATTGGTCTACTCTTGATTGGCAATTTTATGGGTAAGCTTTGTGCCGAGCAGTGACTGCGAACGACAATGCCAAGGTGCATCATCATTTCCCCCTTTTGTTTTCACCCCCCTTTGCAGTTGAGCTACCACCAGCGCCCATGTTGCAAGTGGCACAGGACTTTATTAAATACTCATTGGAGGGTGGTCATTTGCGTGACGATTACATTTTACACGGTCACCGGCAGGTACGTAACACCGAGTGTCCCGGCGATGCGTTGTATGCGTTGATTAAGGAATGGCCACACTGGCAGGAGGCCAACTGACTGACACCAGTTMCCACATGTGGYGAACGAAAATTTAAGCTCATTAAWATTTTTAATTTTAATTTATATCATGAATAACAACAGTGTACATAAATACTCATAATAATAGTACATATTAATTTTAAACAACCAACTTTTTTAATTTYATTAACAGCACAWGTTTTTTGTACTGACTTTCAATAAGTATAGAAATTTTACTCAAATTACATTTCTATATTTATTGAAAGTCAGTACAAAAAACTGATTCGAATTTGAATTTCTTACAAGATATGTAAGTTCAGCGATTGGTTAAAGAATTAACAAAAACATGCATTCGGCATAGACAACTAATTATAAATGCCRTTTCCAGCCCAGCCGAGTGTAAGACAACGAAATCGATACGGAGCTTTGTCCGTCCAAGGGCTGTCAAATCGGCAGGAAATTTTAAAATATAACAATAACAA